GGTAATCTGAGAGGGAATGAGGAAGGAGGGCCAGTGAAAAACCTCTTACAGGGGTGAGATTTGAGCTCAGTGTAGAAAGACACTAGAAGTGAAGGAGGAGGACATTTAAGGCATGAGAGGATAGCAAATGCAAAGACAGAGATTGGAGACAGCAAACAGGCCCGTGCAGCTAAATCATACAATGGGAAGGAGTAACAGAAAGGTAGGAGAGGTGCAGGTTATGACAAGCTTTAAATGCCCACAGACTTGCTATCTGATCCTGGAGGTAAGAGCCCTACTGGAATTTACTGAATGTGAGCGTGTGATGGTCAGATCTGCAATTCAGGGAAATCACTTTGGCGGCTAAGTTAGGAAGGATGGAGAGGTGAGAAATGTGAGGCAGGGACACCAGCCAGCAGGTTATCACAGTAGCATGGGTGAGAGGTGGTGAAGGCTGGAGTGGAGAGAGGAGAGGTGCAAGAAGAAAGGAAAAGATCTGACATCAGAGTGCATTTACAGGATGAGAGCGAGGAGCAGAGGATAACTAAGGATGCAAGTCCAGGTGACTGGGAGAATGGAGATGCCCCATCGGGAGACTGGGAAGACAGGAAAGACTTGGGAGTAAAGAGAATGAGCTTTGTTTTGTGCCGACTGAGCTTGAGCTGCCCACGGGACACCCCACAGAAGATGTAGAAAATACAGTTGATGAGTCTGGATTGTAGTTAGGGAGAAATAAAGGCTATAGATAAATTTGGGAATCATCAGCATAGAGATAAATAAACACGTGGGAGCAGATGAAATCACTATGAGATAGAACAGAGAGAAGGCAAAGAGAGCCATGGGGGAAACCAGCAAGTAAACGCCCCAAAGCATTTCCACCGCAGACCCAATTTAGCTTTCTCCCCAGGTAGGGCCGGCTTGACCTGACCCATTCCCACTCCCCAGCCTAGCACAAAGCCACACTAAATATGTCATCACCTCTAGGGAGCTGCCAAGTGACCCAAGGTAGAAAGACACAAGCTAAACCCCAGGCCTTCCAAGTGTCCCCCTCCCTCCTTCTTTATTGGCTCTTTGTGAAGATCTCCTCCCACCCTGAGAGCTCCAGGCCAGGCTCCAGCAGTGCCCCCAGCTAAGGCTTCAAAGGAAAGTTTGGCCTTTGAAGTAGAGACCCTGCCCTCAGAGCCCTGATCAAAGCCTGTGCACAGACAGCCCAGGAAGGAGGGCCCTAGGCACTTGAGCTGTTTCCCTACCCCCTAGACCGGAAAGACTCTCCCCCATATCTCTCCAGGCTGTACAGAGCATAAGACCATCCCTAGGGAGGGAAAGCACCAGGTATTGCCACCCTCACCCCAGACTGACATGGAAGGAAAACCAGTTTAGAAACTCATCTAGAACAGCCTGGAAATGGAAAATAACCCCCAAAAATACAGTCTAAGGTTAGGTGTGAAAGGACGAAGAGAAAGCCTCCCCCAACTTTGGAACAACGAATGCCAGTTATTACTAACTGGGAGACCTGCAATTTAAATGAGTGGCAGGTATGAAAGCCTCAGAGCCTTTTTTGTATATGCTGGGTGAGCCATTACCCAACTCTGTGACCCCACTGAGGGTTTTCTTGGCACAGATACTGGAGTGGTTTGCCATTTCCTTCTCCAGTTCATTTTATAGACAGGGAAATTGAGGCAAACAGGGAGCAGTGACTTGCCCACGGTCACACAGGCAGACAGTATGTGAGGCCAGATTTGAACTGAGGGAGGTGAGTCCTCCCTGGCACTCCATCTACTGCACCACCCAGCTGCCATGAGCACTAGCTGGGGGTGGGGGTTGGGGAGGAATGGGGAGTTTAATCTATGACTTTGATGTCACAATCCTGTAATCCCAGCACCTTGTTTGGATTCAGTCAAAGGCCCACACTTGAGGACCTAGAGGGCCATGTCTGGCTTCAAGGCCACAGGTGCCCCAGCCCCTGCCTTAGTAGACAGGAGTGCTGAGCTTGCCTCTGTCTGCCTCAGCTTCCTGTACAGCTGTAAAAGGGGGATCCTAACAGCCTCTATTTTGCAGGGTGGTTGTGAGGATCAACCGAGATCATATTTATATAAACAGCGCTCGGCACTGGGCACATCTAAGGTGCTCAATAAATACTTGTTTACACACACACACACACACACACACACACACACACACTCCCCTACAGGTAGGTGCAATTATCATCACCCCCATGTTACAGAGGAGCAAACAAAGGCCCTGATTACACTGCTTCATCTGTGCAGGATTCAGGCAAGAATTTACCTCTTTCCATGGAACGGTTTCCCAGGAAACCGCAACTACCATAAATCCCCTTCTCCCCCCAGACTCAAGCCCTCCGCAGCATTTTGTCCCTATTCCTCATCTCCAGCACAGCTCTCTCTCCAATCCCCAAGGCCATTCGGCCTGGAAGAAACCCCAAAACAATTCCAACCATTAATGAAAATCCTAAGTGAAAATTAGCTTGGGTAAACAACCCTCCAGGTAGAGCACAGGCTGAGATCCCTAACACTTCGGGCCTTAAATCCGATATTCAACATAAAGATATCCTCTGATATCCAACGGCCAAAATCAACTCAGTTCTCTCTCACCTTCCTCATTTTGAAGGAGAAAATGTTCTCTTCCCCTCTTAGCCCCAACTAGCCCCTTCAAGGCCACTTGAGATAAATACAACCCATCAGCCTCCAAGCTCCCACATTTCCTCTCCTAAGGCCATGCAGAGACCAGGAGGCCAAGAGCTGCCCCCTTCCACACTAATGAGGATGGTGAGGTCATCCCTATACATAGTGGGTCACAGAGTGTGGAGGGAGAAAGGCACTCTGTATAAGAGTGGGCATGACATGACTGATTCTACTTCCCAGGACTTCCAGAAGCACTTGATTAAGGCATCTACATTGAAATGAGAAGAATAGGAACTCCATTTTTTTCTGTTTGACAAAAGCCTCATTCACCATACACCCAGCCACAGCCCAGAAGGACTTTCACTTACAGCAGGCAGGTACAAGGGAGCCTGCTATACCCATTTTGCCCAAAGACGTCTAGAGGCCTGACCTGGCACAGTACTGAAGAGTGGAGAAGAGGGAGGCACTGCTATTCCCAGACAGAGAGCTACACAGGTTGGATTCACATGGGACTACTCTTGGAGAGGCAGAGGAAGCCCTCAGATGCTGGAACACCAAGAAGGGCCCCAAAGATGGGAGGCAGACAGGCAAACACTCAGACCAGTCTGGTATGAGCCAAGGCCTACCTAAAGCATTCTCCAGGTTCACCTCAGAGGTGGGGATGAGGACTCATTCTGGCTACATGCTCTGGCTTCCCAGAAGGGAGAAATGATAACTGAGGCTACAAAATATTTGTAACTCTTTCCTCTTTCCAAAATCCAAACAACTAAATGGCAATACTTCCAATCTGGCCACCATGGAGCAAAACCAAATCCCAAAACAATGTCCATTGAGAATGGTCTCAGGAATTAGCTTTTCAATTTTTTTTGTTAAATCAGAGAGAAAAATATCACCATTTAAAAAGGTACAGGCTAGAAACAGACTTAAAAACAGAATAAAACATTTTATTCACTTCAAGATTGTTAAGTATTCCATATGATATACATATATATTTAGATAACATATAAAACAAAAAGACAAGAAACCAGTAAGAGAAAATATTGGAATGGATCTGCTTTACAGGTACACTTAACTCTGTAATTTCATGGTAAATGCCACCTCCGCTTGTCCTGGGACGGGCAGAAGGGTAAACTCCCATGCCTGGTTAGCACACAGTGGGCAGGTTTTTAGTAAAGTGCTGGATAAACATCCTGTGACCAAGAACTGCTGATCTCCCACTGAACTTACAATGCAATTACGGAGTTATTACATGGTTACTGGTGTCCTAAAACAAAGGACACCAAATTATTAAATAAAAGGACCCTATCACAGTGAATTTATCTAAATATTTCTGTATTTCACATTGTCCTCCAGCTACTTTCCTTTTTAAATTAAGCATTAGGCCCAGGGCTTATTCCTCATGTTGTGTTCTGGTACTGGGTTATTGCTGGGGGAAGAAATAAAAAACACACAGATAACATATACAAACAACATGTAAATGATCAAGCATGTAGAGAGCTTAAAAAAAAAAAAAGCTGCCTGCCCCCATGACCTCTGGCACAAGCTACCCAGAGCATGGAGGGTAAGCGTGGCTGATCTGTCTAGACAACTGAGGTAGCACAAAGGGCCCCTGCTACCATCTAGAAGGAACATGGAGACCCCACACACCCTTCATTCTGGATCAGACTGTTAACATAAATTACGTACTGGTGAAAGGGGCAAGTCTGCCAGGCTTTAGAGAAAAAAGCCTCTCTCCATAGAAAAGGTCTCTGAAAAGAGCAGTAAGAATGCCTGCATTTGTCTTCTGAGCATAAGACAGGATACCCTCAAGAAGTGAGGCAGAAGAGGAAGGGGGCCAAGAGCTGAATATCTAATAAGACCAGCTCTTCCTCCCTCCCTGCCAACTTTAAAAGTCAGAAGTGGCCTGACAGTTATGCTACCACTACAAATCTGATTCACAGACCATCCCTGGCAGGTCACTTCACCTGAAGCCTTATGATCAAAGGGCACCGAGAACCCTTTTTTGGCCATACCTGTGATTTCATCAGTACAGGGAATGCCTGGTGAGGACCCCTTCCTTAATCCCCCCACCCCTTAACAAAGACAAATCTGCAACCGCTCGAGGCACTGAGAGGTAAGTGACCTGCCTGGGGTCACCCGAAAATATGTGTCAAGAGATGAGGCCTGTGCAGGCTGAGGCCATAATGCCACAATGCAGTTATGGCATTCAGAACCAGCAAAAATAAAAATTCTTATTACAAAAATCAGTTTTGTAAAGGCCCTGTGGGAAGCAGAAATACTTGCAGTGATGGAGCAGAATCTTAACATAGCCTGAAGACCCAAAATAGTGCTTTCCACAACTACTTCTCTGCTCTCTGGTCAGGGTTAAGACTAGCTCACCTTCGCCTTGTTCTGAACTGGGAGATAGAGCTTGAACTCAGCTGGCAGCTCGTCCTCTGAGTAGAGTCTGTCTGAGAAGTACACTCGCCGGATGCGACAGTTGGCGTGGATCTGCAGATGCAAAACTGCATTTCAAAGGCTAAAAAGGTCGACTGTCTCTTCTTTCTTCCTCTCCCTGACTCCTAAACCTTTTGTGGTGATGCTGCATTTCTACTCCTTCGGTAACAGCTTGGCTCTAAAACACATCCTGGCCTCAAGTTAATTTCCGTATTCTTGGCCTTGTCTCTCTCTAGCTCCTCTTCAAAGCCTCCTTCCAGAAAACGCTATCCCTGAGAACCCAAAACTCCCTTGCTTGGCGCCCCCCTGCCCCCCCCATCATCTGGGTCTCCTAAAGGCAGAAGCCCCTTGATAATGCCTGACACTATCTCAGGATCCATAGCGGGGCACCAGAAGACAGAGCAGATGCCTCCTGCAGGGCTTTTCTGACTCACGCCTGGGCAAGGAGGGGGTACCTGCACCCTGAGGGTTTCTATGTAGTTTGTGCCATATGCCCTGCGGGTGAAGTCGGACAGATTGAACTGGATCTGGTTCCAGCCGTCATCCAGCCGCATGGGCATGGTGCAGATGAAGGGCTTAACTCGCGTGGTGCTCTGGTAGTTACTGGCCCGGAACCGTCGACGCACATTCTTATCGTCTAGAACCTGTCATCAGGTGAACGGGGCAAGAGAGGAGGAAGAAAGTGAAGGGCTTCTTCAAACAGCGCAACTAAACCCAATGGGGTGAGCCCCTCAACACGAAGCACGGAGGACAAATGCATAGCCCAGAGACAGTCCATGCTGGACACAGATGGCCAGGAAGGAGCAACAAGCTTATCCTGTCACACCATCTGCACATGACAGCATGGGAGGTGGCACACAGACCACAGGATGAGTTCACGAACCTCCTCTCCACTGAACACCCAGTGGAGAGCTGAGGCCATCAGTAACCCAGGCAAGAGCCATGAATCACAGCATGAACGCTGTCTTTTTCTCTAGCAGTTAATGCCTAGAGTTTCTCTAACCAGACTAAATGCCTTGATTGTTACTACCCCATGCACATCACACATTCTATCGTTCAGAGGAAATAAGATAGACAAAGAGGGAGATGCCCTCCTGATGCGAGACATTTCAGCTCTTCCAGCAAGGACCCAAGGGCAGGGACTTTGTTTTTGCTTTTCTCCTATTTCCAGGGCTTAGTGCAGGGCCTGGCACCTGGTAAGTGCTCATTCAATGCTGCTGACAAGGGACACAGGATAATTCTCCTTAATCCAAGGCAGCAGAGACACACAGACACACACACACTCTCACTTACCTGCACTTCAAAAGTGAAATACTTCTTCAAGTTTTTGATGATCATGACCAGGAAGGGAAGTTTAATGCCCAGCGTCTTCTTTGGGTCCGCTGGGCAGGTGATATATGTAGTGCTATGGAAACAGACAACACAGAGAACAAGCCTGATTACTGTCCTTCCCTACCACTGTCTGGATTCTCTTCAATCCATCCCCAGCTGGATGAGCCCTGTGTCTCTGCAGCACAGAAGCGATATGTGAAGAAAATAAACCAAGATCAGATTAAGGAAAACACAGGGAAATTAACCTCATCTAGATGTCTCAAGCCGGGGCTTAAGAGGATCCTTCAACCTTTTGGAGAAGCAGTTTATGCTCCAAAAAACTTTCAAGTAATCACCCAGCTTAACAACCCAAAAGACTGATGTTATTCAGAGGGATACTCAATAGATCTCATCAGATGGCTCCTTCAATGTGAAAACAATCCAGATCTGAGGCCACAGAGCCACCAAAGCCTTCCCCAACATCCCCAAAGCACAAAAAACTCCAAGTCATGCAATGCAGGGAGCTGGGTCTGCACTTTCTCTTAACCCTGGACACCTCTGCTGGGGAACACACAGCACCCACCTTGTGTCTGGGAGAACAAAAAGCTTTGGGTAAGCTACCTGACATTTGTCCCTTCGATCTCTAGCACCAGGGACTGGATGTCGTTATCGGTGATTCTTTTGATGTGGCCATTCCGCACCTAGTGACAGACAGAGAGGGAACGGAATTGGTCAGAACTCAAATGTATGAAATCAGCAGGACGTGGAGGAGAGGTGCGGGGCGGGGGGGCTATGCCAATGGCTTGCCAGCCTGGGATGGTTCTGCTTCAGCTTCAGAGCGGCACTGCTAAGTGGACAGAGCTGCTCCCTCCAATAACACAGTCCCAAACCCAGGAAAGGGACTGGGGGGTCACCAAAAGATCAAACACGTGCAACAACCTCAGTCAAGAAGGCCAACCCTAAAAACCCATCCTCTCCCTTGGGCACAATGGACCTTGTATACACCTCTATATTTGAAATGATGCTTACCAGTACACCAGAATAAAGGATCTAATAAAAAATAGAATAATATCAAAACAGAAAGATTTTCCTATGAAGACGTTTTCTTTAAAAAATCAGGACCCCTGGGGCAGCTAGGTGGCGCAGTGGATAGAGCACCGGTCCTGGAGTCAGGAGGACGTCAGTTCAAATGCAGCCGCAGACACTTGACACTTACTAGTGGGGTGACCCTGGGCAATCACTTAACACCAATTGTCTCACCATAAAAATAAAATTAAAAAAAAAATTCAGAACCCTAGTCTGCAAAGATGAATGTCAAAAGAGACCATATTTATAAATCTCTAAGGGTATGAGTAGGGTTAATGCGACTAAGTCATGGAATACTAGAAATGGGATTGCCCTTGAAGTTCAAAACAGGTATTTTTTGGGAAAAAGAAAAAAAACGACGTGCCTTAAAAAGCATATTATATACACTGCCACGGAGGTCTTCCCAGACCACTCTAGACCACACTCATGTCTCTCATCTCCACCCCTCCAAGCACGGTTACCAGTCGGCACTGTACAATCTAGTGCCCAATGGCATCTAGCCTTTTTGTTTAAACACAGTTTCACGTACACAAGCATTATCTTTTCCAAAAAACCACTAACGGCTGGCACTGTACAATCTAGTGCCCAATGGCATCTAGCCTTTTTGTTTAAACACAGTTTCATGCACACAAGCATTATCTTTTCCAAAAAACCACTAACGGCTGGCACTGTACAATCTAGTGCCCAATGGCATCTAGCCTTTTTGTTTAAACACAGTTTCATGCACACAAGCATTATCTTTTCCAAAAAACCACTAACGGCTGGCACTGTACAATCTAGTGCCCAATGGCATCTAGCCTTTTTGTTTAAACACAGTTTCATGCACACAAGCATTATCTTTTCCAAAAAACCACTAACGGCTGGCACTGTACAATCTAGTGCCCAATGGCATCTAGCCTTTTTGTTTAAACACAGTTTCATGCACACAAGCATTATCTTTTCCAAAAAACACTAACGGCTGGCAACTGAATCATACTTTTCCCTTTCCCACACTTTTCTGCACACACGCCTAATCAGCAGCAATCACTATCAATGACAATATTAACAGCTGATGTTCAGAGTTTTCAGGTTTACAAAAGCATTTCACAAACATTATCTAATTTTTTAAAGTTACTCTAGGAAATAATTGTGTGTGTGTGTGTGTGTATGTGTGTGTGGGTTCAAGAAGAAGGGTTTAAATAATTCCTAAGATTGATAACGAGTTATTAAGGGAAGTTAGAGATGTTTAATACACACCCTAACCTTTCAGAGCTGTCATGGAAATTACAAAACACTTTTCACACAAATAAAGTCAGATCTAAATAACTGGAAAAACGTCAGCTGCTCATGGGTAGGCTGAGCTAATATAATAAAAATGACAATCCTACCTAAGCTAATTTACTTATTCAGTGCCATACCAATCAAACTACCAAAAATTATTTTAGAGTCAGAGTTGTTGTGGAGAACCATGTTTTCCTAAAAGAAAAAAAATTCCCTTGGTAGAGTTCTATTCACAGAACAGTGGAACAGACCCTTCACCTCAGCAAAGACAGCATTTTCCACATTGTTTAAAAAGCAAACTCCAAATTGCTCTTAAACATGAATCTGGCGAAGGCTCCTGGTTAAAATCACAAATGGTTATTCTATTTAGGACGAGTCAATATTGCCAAGCGCTTTCAGAAAAAGTGGCACATCTCTGGTACGTTCAGGACTACGGCGGCTGCTGGTTGTGAAGGAAGTAGAGCTCAAGATGAAAAGACCTGGCGGGAGAGAGAGGGTCTAGAGTGAGGGGTGGCCGTTGTGACACTCATGGAACGTGCTGGGGGTAACATCAACCAAGAAAACTACCTCCAGCACTGACGCTGTCAATATGACCTTCCTAAATCAACAAGGAAAGACAGACCTTAATTTAAACAACACAATCATTCTTAACAACCTAATTTCTGAACATTTTGTTAACAGAAGTTATCTGTGTGACAGCTGACTAGGAAAGTCTGTAGAACTCAGTGGGAATTATACCCTCAGGGCTTCGAGAGCTAGCTGCTGAAAAGCAGCCCAAGTATTCTCAATCAACACATCCACAACAACAAGCATCTAAGATGGGCTTCAAGTCTGGCTTTGGGAACACTTAAGGAAGACACCCTTAGCTACTTGAGCCAAAGTCAACAGAAGCAATAAGGCTTCTCTGACGGAGAGCTTCGCACAGTGCCTGGCACACAGGAGGTGCTTAATAAATGCTTATTGATTCACCAACCCACATACAGCTCTGTCAGGCTTAAGGAGACTTGGGACACAAAACATCCTTGCCTTCCACCAGCTCCCAAGTCTACAGTAGATGACTTCCCAGGAATACTCCAGAATACTGAGGCCGCCGAGGGTTTCCAGAATAAAAGCAATGCCTTCCACTGCATGCAGAAGCCAACAAACAGGAAGCTGCAGCCAGCCAACCGTCTTCCTATATCTCTGTACTGGCAGTAACTTCCTGGGGGAAAGATTACTTTGGGGGATAACCCTGACAAGTGACACTCTTAAAACCCAGCTGATCCAGATCCGCAGACAAGAAAGTTTCGGGACGTGGATGTCTCCCAGGTCCTAGACATACAACCTGGCTGCTGGCAGTGTTGCCTCAACCCGTCCTGAGGAGCCAGCCTTAAGAGAGACTGGTACGCCTTCTCCACTGCCCATTTAATTCAAGGGCGCTCAGTTGAAACCGAGAATGCTGATGCCAATTAGTAAAGGATCTCTACATCACAAGCTGCCAATTCCTCAGTGGCCAAGGCTGGAAATGGAATTCAAATGAGTAAGGTTCATTAGTGAAAGCTTATTTCCTCAAGGTTCAAGGACTGCAAAGGTAAATCTGACTAAGATTAACCTGAGAGACAGATACGACAGCAAAATGGACAGTGCTGGACCCAAAGTTAGGAAAACTGGTTCCAATCCCACCAAGATTTAATTAGGTATGTAACCACAGGCAAGTCATTTAACCTTTCAGAGCCTCAGTTTCCTGATGTGTCTAATACGCATACTATCTACCTCAATATCGTTTTGAGGAAAGCCTTTTGCCCACCTTAAAGTACTATGGAATGTGAATTAGTATTAACTAGTAAGAAGAAATAAGAAAAAGGAAGCAGAAGAAACCTCCTAAAGGACAGTTCTCCAAGATTATTAGTTTAACTGTATCAACCATTCTCAGCTCCATGCACTGGAAAAGAGGGTTGGATTTGAACCATTACTTAATCAGCTCATGTAACTTCAAGTCACTCAAATTCCATGGCCCTGGTTTTGTCGCCGGTCCCTATCAACTATGCAAAGGCTACCTAATGACCTCCAAAGCAACTGGAAAAATTGGTTATCTGCCTTGACGTTTAATTCAAAAATAAGATTAAGAGCCAACTTCCAAAGAACCTTTTATATCTACCTCAGGAGCCTGCATGTGATACTGGTTCTTGGAAAATATTTACTTCTTTTCTTAAACTCTTCATAGATCAGGTCACTGGGTTAATTTGCACCAAAGACAGATCACTCTTCAATTAGAACTATCCATTCTGGAAACAGTTTTTTCTGACTCCCACTATCTAAATTACTGACTTTTCAAAATTTTTTTTTTGGAGTTCCCATACATCATTTAATTTAAAGACGTATCTACCCCAAGACCCAAAATGCAGTGTGGCAAATTAAGTTTACTTTGCTAACTTTATGATGCACTTTGAAATAAATTAGAGATACCCTACATATCTTAAAACCAGGTCTTAGAATCACTTAACAGTGACACCCAGCCTTCCTAATGCCAATAATGGATTCTGTCAAATTGTATGAGAGAAAAACAATCTTTAAACTCCTATCTTACAAACAGTCCTGTCTTTGGATGACAATTTATGCTGCAGCAAACAGTGGGAGAACACTGATTTTAAAAAATCTGACCACCAAAGAAGGTCGGTAGGAGGGGAAAAACAGGAAAAGGATCTGTTGAATGCTTTGCGCTTATAAAAGCATTCTAAAAATAAAATCAGTTGAATCTACTCCGCATATTTCCACCCCCTCCCCCTTGCCTCATCTTTCTAGTCCCACCCAATTCTCCCAGCAGCTGAACCCCACTGCCATCCAGCAAACCAAATGACATGGTCAGATTCACGTTCAACCAGAGTCAACATCCCAACAGAAGCTAGCACTAGATCAGACAGTGTTCAATGAAGGAACATGCTGAGGGAGACCTCTGCAGACAGTTAGGCATCATTACTTAGTAATTACTGAGGGCACAAATCTACATGCATTTTCAGCTAGCGACTCTTCAATCAGCAAATCTAAATCATCAGATAACTATCCAGTGCAACAGAAGTTAACTTTTTTTTTTTGCTTCAGAAAGTAAAGGCCAGCCTTGTGAGGTTATATATCCATGTATGGTTAACAAGATTTCTTGTTAAAGTCTTACTAGTTTAGATTGATAAGCGTAACTTAGCAAAAGTAGGTTTTTAAAGAAATATATTTTGCTTTCACATAATTAGAATGTGCCTGACCTTCCTCGTTATACAGGCTGTTGGAAAGTTGTTTATATGGAATTTTTGTACATTTACCAACTCTGCCACTTATTTCCCCTGTGACTCTGTGCAAGTCACTTACCTTTCTGAGCTTCAGAGGC